AGAAGGGGGGGGGGGAGCCTGGAGACAAGATTTTCTATGGTAGAAGGAGAAAACTCTTTAAAGAGAGAACATGCATCTGGACGGACAAAGTAAGGCAAAAGTGAAAGCAGGATAACTTTGCAAACTAAGTCTCAGAAACTGCTCTGCAGCAAATTTCCAAACAGAGAGACGAAGGAAGAGGAGACACCTGATTTGACTTAGAGCATTGAAATGCTGAGTTTGCTTTTTTTGCTTGGTTTATATTTTATTTTATCTCATCTTAATTTTGGGTAGTCCTGCTGTGTGTGTGTGTCTATAGGTGGGTGGTTGAGGGGCTGTGGCTGGTGTACAGGGACAAAAGCAGGGGGAGGAAAAGGATTTCAGTTATCCTGGGCTTAATTACAAATTCGACTGCTTCATAAAGGAACAAGTCACAAGAATTTCTGAGTGTTCCTCTACCCCTAAGCAAGCCACAGAAACAGAAATGGCAGTGGAAAGGGGGAAAGAGTGGGAAAGAATTTGTTCTGCGCTATCCCGAAGAGCCTGGTTGAGGAGGTGGGGAGCAGCAAGACAGTCACCTTGAAACTTTGCCTCCAGCTCCAAGGGTTCTGATGCTTTTTGATTTGTAAACAACTTTCTGCAGAACACATGAATATTTCTAGCACTTGTGACTTGTGATATTTTATTTTCCCCTATTCCAATTTTTTGAATTGGAATAATGGATTAGAGCTTATCTGCACTCTGGCCAGTTTTATAAAACCAAATAATTGCTGAGCTGGGGAAGCAGCTTTATTTGCATTTAAAAAAATTTTTAAGAGAAATTCTGCCACCCTCTGGACAGAAACCAAACATCTATTTCCACAGACCACCACAGAAGACTGCTTTATGCAACTGCCCTTGAAAATAAACATTTACTTTTTAAATGTCTAAAAAGGGAGGGGGAAGAATCCCAGTAGTTTCAGATAGCATTGACAATGGGGGGAGGTGATTATTTTAAAATACTAACTTGCTTCTAAGATATTTTTAACTAAAGAAACCGGTCTCAGAGCACATTTGAGAAAAAGGCTTCAGCATTCAACTTGCAATCTTTCCAAAAATCACAAAACAGCCTACATTTCTGCTCCAGTCTGCAACAGCCAAGCAAAGATTTCTCACACAATTTCAGCTGTGACTGCTTTCATACAGTTACCTTTATTGGGTAGGGGAAAAATCCACATTTATATTAAATATAAACATATGTGTTGGTTTTTAACTAGAACACATGGGCAGAGTGAGATTTCAGCTACACTTGAGAGAAATTAGCCAGAAGAGCACAAAGGGGCAGCGTAGTTCGGAAGCTCTAACCCTCTCATCCACTAGGCATGAAGCACTTAATATTATGTAAATGAAGCTCTCGGAAATGCAGGGATGTGGTAATTACCAGTAATAATGCTGGGCAAATCTAAACACACGGCATGCTGTTTTTATTAATAACCAGAGAGAGGAAGCGGGAAGACACCGAGCACCATACCTGGTTTTAACAACAGGGTTTAGATGCTTCTGGTCTTGGAGTACCTTGGCCAGCTGCTTCTGCAGAAACAAAACCTTGCCGCGGACTCCCTGAATAAACGGGTGGTCGAGGAGCTGTGTGACGGGCGGCCGCTTTTCAAAATCCTTAATAAGACACCTGTTTGCAGAAATCAACAAACAATCCAAAGTACAATCTTAGACACCTGGCTCCTCTGTCAATATGGGAGAGGGGTGGAGAAAAGGCTTATTTATAAAACCCCATCACTGACCTAACAAAGCTCTTTCTTTATTCATATGTGCCAGAACATAGAAAAAGTAACAATTCTCTATTAGTTGAATTAATTAAAACATCTGAAATCTATTTTAGTTTAAGTACATATTGAAAACAATCAATTGATTCTAAATACTCAAAACACTGGAAAAGTAGATTGGTCAGACTGAACTTTCTGTCTGAATTTTCATTACAGAAAAATGTTTACAATGGAGACAAGTTGATTAGTCTATATACTTTATTTTGGAAGCATTTAAAATCACATACTATCAAGTAAGTCCAATCCCAACCTAAAATGCCCACTGTGTGGTGGTGGGCAAATGTATTTAGGAGTCTGCAAGGAAAGAAACTGATCATAGAGAAGCCTTCACAGAGAAGGTTCAACACCTTGATTTCTAATGTCTTTTGAAGAAGCAGAAAAACCTCAGGACAGGAAGTGACTGCAATATAATTCAGACAAATTGGAATGAAATTATGCAAACGGGGAACAAAAAAGTCCATTCGAAATGGTAAACACTGGGCTGTATTTAAACTCCTCTGCGGTTAATTGGTTAAAACTGCACCGGTATAACCACTTTCTGTTTCAGGTTCAATACCCTTTTCAAAGAAAACAATGATTTAGTGCAATTTGCTGTATGCTCTCTGTTACTAAAAATGATTTTGACACAAGGAAATTTCTACTGAAATTGAATCTGATGAATACCCCTCCAATTACCATCACATTTCTATTCTGACTAGCTAGCTGCCCTTGATAGGAGAGAGAAATTTTAATAGCTGCCCTTGTAAACTATCAGTCTCTAGCTCACATAGGAGGCTTAGAATAAACACTGGATGCCATTCTGCCCACTCCATGAAATAAACGTTTCCAGTTTTCCCACTAATGACATGCCGGCAACATCTAAAACACAACGTATTTTAAATAATGAAATGCATTGACAGATGGTAAAAAGTTCAGCCTCACCTTGAGCATTATTTCAAAATATTTAAGCAGTTCCCCAAACAGTCCTCAACTGTTGGATTCACAAAAGGCTTTAACCTTTGCGATTTACACGTCCAACCAATTTCACATCCCTCACCTTCTAGTCTTGAAAAGATTTTCAGTCGATTTCCCAGTCACTCCATTTTAGAATTGATTCAGGGGATTTTCTTTCTATTGGAACTGGAGCTTTCAGCTAGAAATGCCAAAAGAACCTAGATTATCTCCACTCTGCTGCCTGCATGACTTAAATACCACCTCTGCCTTGCCATGGGAAGAAATCAATCATTTGACTTGAATAGGTTTGGGGGCCTTTTGTATAATCTATTATTTTTCCTACCAAAAGAAAAAAATCAGTGCACATGCTTAAAAAAATACTATGTTCATGTCTTTACTCCGGCAATCTTCCCTGAATTCCCTGTATATGAATTTATATGTGTATATGGCTATGAAAGAAAAATAATTGCTAATGTTTCCCTCAGCACCTGGAGAAAAGGAACCTCATGGTAGTTATACGGTGAAATAATACAGGTGAATGGCCCCGTCCTCCTGGCTTGAGGAATGGTGTACGAAAACTCCTAAAACAAAACACAGTCTGTGTCCTCTGAGAGTTCCTACTGGAGATGGACTTGGTGGCTTTGCACAGCCCCACCCCAGAGCCTCAGAGGGAGTCAGACAGGAGACTGGGAACCCCTGGGTCTTGCAGCTAATCCTGCCAGTGCTTTGGGGTGGGTCACATTATATCTGTCTCTTGTCACCAAAGAGACATATGCCCTGTACCCATGTATATCCCCAAACACAGAGAGATTTCTTAATAGGTTTCTCTACCTAATGTTTCCTTCCTTTTTTCCTGCATTAGCTGTTTCAACTGACTGCCAGTCGGTGCTACTGAAAAAGGAAGAAAGAGCAAGAGCACCAGGGCCACCCTCAGTTGCCTGTTGAGCAGTGCCAGTCCGTCAATGGGTAAACTCAGGGGGCTGAGGCTGAAGGTGGGAGGCATAGCGATGAATAGAAAACTCAGAGCAAGTGAATGGGAAAGTGGGCTGGAGCTGCTTCTGCCTTTCTCCTTGGGACAGTTTCCAGGTGAGGCCTGAAAACATGGTCCTTCTGGTACTTCAGTAATTACATCTCCTTAGATAGAGTTGGAAAGAGACCAGGAAACTCACACTGCAGCCTTATGAAAATAGGTCTCTACTGGAGTCTAGGGGTGCAGTTAAAGGTGCTATACCTTGTTTCATAATTTTAGCATCTAGTGGGGGAGCAAGGTTGCCAAAAAGGTTGCAAGATCACTGGGTATTTTGGAGAGGATCTCTCTCTAGAACACAGAGGGAGTGAGAGAAAAGAGGAATACATAATAAAATGAGGTAATCAGACAAGGAAGGAACTAACAAATGAATCTGTTGTCTCCTGAAGATTCAAAAAATGAAGGTAGGCATATTAATTTCTGGAAGCAGTGATCAAGAGGGCTTGTTAGTTCTCTCAGAAGGACCCAAGTGGACTGAATGTCATTCCACTGGGTCAGCAAAACTGAAGCTGAGTGTATATGGGAAGAATGCTAAGCAGAGCTGTGACATATCCGACTGCATTGGAGGATTTTTAGGAGAAGGGCATGGAGACCTTGAGGATATAAGCTTATTCTAAAACTCTCTTGCATACTTTTTTCTCATGGGGGAGCAAAGAGCCAGAATGAAATGGAACTATTATTTTACTGAGAAGTAGAGGAAAGTTCTACTTTAGGAGCAGATATGCCTGCAAATCATGCATTACTAGATACAGGTCATTGGAATCATCTTACCTCATTTGTTCAGCAAACATTTATTAACCAGCCAGAATTAGCCAAACTAAACAAATTTATTAAAAAAATTATGATTCTTTTCCTTAAGGATCTACAGTCTAATGGAAAGATGGAAGGGCAAGAGAAACACAGGAAAGAGCAGAAGCCAGTATTTGCTTATACACAGGGTGGCGTGAAAGTAGGTTTACAGTTGTATGAGAAACACAGTTTATTCTTATATTATTATAACTTATTAATTATTGTATTATTTTCCATATGAACAACTGTAAAACTACTTTTGTCCACCCTGTATTTAGAATAAGAAATAATCACCCAAAGCACAGGGTTTTGGAGTTAAGAGATGGAGATTTTCTATTTTAACCTCTTATATGTGGTGAGGGAGTTAAGGTCAGGTCCTGGTCGTGATGGGGCCAATTCTCTGACTCCCATGAGAGAATCCTTCCCACCCTGCAATGTGTTGTTTAAAATGGCACAGATGCAGAATAATACTCAGGTGGTGGGTGGGGGACTCCAGTCAGGGAAGACTTAGTGGAGCAGGTGAGAACCGAGCTAGGTTTGGGGGAAGTTTTGTAACTAAGTTGAACTCCATTGGTGGAGAAGAGGTAGAGGCATTTCAAAGTTAGCAAACCAGATCAGCGATGCAAGAAGCCTGGCTAGGCAAGCTGTGTAGCCAGGGACGAAGCCACCACAACATTCACCTTCACCTCCTAAGCTGCATCCTTTAAATGCCTAAGAACTTTAGTCCCTTTACCAACTTTAACTAGGATGTATTCTTTGTTGCTTAAGACTTTGCAATTTGGTGCCCCAAATTCATACTGTTAGTTTGTCAGGTCGTCATTTGTCTTACTCTCCTTCCAGGCAGGGATTTAGCGGATTAAGACAGAATTGACTACTGAATCTATAAGAATTCCTGACAGCCTCTATGTCCTTTAAAAAAGCATGTTAAAGTCCTCCAACCTGATTTGAAGAACAAACATGGAAAACTAAGAAAGTTATAATATGCTTGTCCATTTCGGGATTGATTATTAAACCAGAAATGTCAAATCCCAGATGCAGAATATTCCCCCCCACCACCTGGGGATTGGAAAGTTTTACAAGAGAATGTATAAAATGTTGATTTTTGTATGGGGAATGGGGGCCAGGCAGTGTGAGGTGAGTTGGGTGAAATACTAGACACATATGATATTCCACTGAAAATGAAACTAGTGTTCTGGTCAAAAGGTATAGGAAACAGTTATACTCTAACCCAGGCAAGTCTGGAGTTTCGCAATGCACATGAGCACATTAAATGTTCTTAGAAGTACAGGGGTAAAGAAAACAGCTTACTTCTGTTTAAGTCCATGTTTCCAAACCTGTGGGCCACAGGCCCTTTTCTGTGTCAGTGGGACCAGGGCCCTGCAAATGGTATCTTCAGAAGCTCCGCCGTGAGAAATCAGTACTAGACTTTTGGAATGTGTGGCAGAGTCCTTATCGCAGCTAACTGAGGGGAGACCCTCAGAGTCCTTAAATATCCCTGGCATGTTTAAGACATCTGTAAGCTGTTGGTTCTACAGAAGACAGTGTCTCAAACGGGGTATATATTCCCCAAGCTCAATTCATCCCAGAGCCTTTTGCCCTGGAAAAAAGAAACTGAACAGGACTAGATTTAGGGAAGACTACTTTTTTCCAAAATTATCAGTAATTCCTTTTAAAAAAATCATTTTTTTTTTTTTTAGCCCTGGCTAGTATGGCTCAGTTGGTTGAGCATTGTCCCATGCCCCAAGAAGTCACCAGTTTGATTCCTGGTCAGGGCACATGCCTGGGTTGCGGGGTCGATCCCCAGTAGGGGGTGTGCAGGAGGCAGCTGATCCATGTTTCTCTGTCTCCCTTCCTCTCTTTCTAAAATCAGTAAAAACACACTTTTTAAAGTATCATTTTTTTAAATCTGGATTTAGGTGTGGTTATCTCTGTGCTAAAAGACAAAACAAAATGTTTAAACTACCAGGAGATGTATTACCTGGATTTACTCTGAATTTACAAGGCCATGGTAGGTGGTTTGAATTTGATAGAAAAGGCCACTAGAATAAAAAGGAAGCAAATTCTAGCCTTGAAAGAAATTAATCCATGACCTCATTT